CAGGTCCTGGATCCCATGAATAAGGGGCTCTACTGAATGTTTTGATCCTTTCATATTGAATGCCCAAGGTTAATTTGTCTGCTTACAGAGCATTTTGCTGTTGGATCTATGTTAAGGAAAATACAGTCTGTTTGATATTATGTAGCAGATTAAGTACTTTGAATCCTCTTACTAATAGGCAGAGTTGGGGCTCCATTTGTTTACTTTAATAGCGGTTTAATAATGTCTAAATGGCTATATGGTTATCACATAAGGCCTTATTTAGGCACCAATGTTGTTGTTGCCACCATTGTTTTACTATGAGAGAAAAATAAAAAGTTTCTGGGAGGGTATGTGATTTCAGAATTCTTACTTTTTAGTCCATGATTTGAGTATTATGCTGGATGGAAGATTTTGTATGTAAATTCTATAAAACTCCCAAACGCTTTATGATCTGACCGTGTAGTTTTACTGAAATAAATTTTGCCACTTTCTTTCATTTTTATGCAATTGCAACAACAACAAAAAATCATGTTTCAGGTTTTATACCTCCTGTTTGCATTTTTTTTAAGGAAGCCTGCTGCTGTTACAGGGCAGAAATCATTTAGGTTCTGTTCTGCTTAGAAATTCCTAAATTTTTTTCAGCGTGTTTTGTGGGTGGGTGGGTTTCAGCCCTCTGAAATGAGTAGTTTCTGCAGGATTTTTGTTGTCATCTTCCTTCTCCAGAGGGATGTTGCATCAAGGCAGCCCTTCTGATTTGGTTTAGGCTCTTCCTGATAGAATCAGAACTAGGATCTAGAATAGAAACCATGATCAGGGATTGTAGCAGGAGCTAGTGGTGGTGTATAGCTCCTTTGAAATACTTGTTAGTTTTTTCCATGGACTGCTGAAGTGAATTGTGACTAATGAAATTGTCCTTGCTCACATCATCCTGACAGGTTGACCTAAGGCTGTCTATAGCATTTTAAGTGACTCTCTTAACCCTTAGAATGAATATACTCCTTCTCACTATCCAGTCTGATATTTATCTGACCCTCAGCACCACTGTATTTGAGTGCTGCACAATTTTTTAATTTACTTCTTACAATACTGCTGTGAGGTAGGGAAATACTAATATCTGCATTAACATAAGGCAAACTGAGACACAGAGGAACTATCACCCACCTTAATTTGAAGAAATGGTGTGTGGTATCACAGAGTAGCCAACAGGTCTTAGCTAGTAAAATCCTAGAAAGCACAAAGCCATTTGTAGTTTACTTCAGCCTGATAAGTGATAACACACTTGAGAACCTTGGGCTGCCTGCTTGTATTTACACTGACCTACTAGTAATTGTGTGAATAACAGCTATTTATTCACACCAGGGTTTTAGCACCTATTAGCTAACACAGTCCTTACAATAATTTCTAATGTAGACACAGCTTAAGTGACTTGTCCAAGGTCACCCAGGAAGTCAGTGGCAGAGGAAGAGATGAACCTGGGTCTCTCAAGTCCCTGCCTGGTATCTAAGCACGGAACCATTCTACTTCTCATGTTTAAACCCCTCCCAAGTGGACTGTGCATTATATGCATTATTGGTTGCTTTTCTTCCTCTGTGTCAGAGCTAATAAGCCTATCTGGGTTTCATACCAGCTTTTTCCTGTTCTCAGCCCCTGGTGCAGGTATCTCGATCAGCTTATTTCCAAGGCTGAGAAAATATGATAATTGGCAACACAGGCTAGAGGGAAAGGTTCTTGGCAGAATAGGTCAAGGCCAACTGGGACTTTATGCAAACAGAAGTCTGAATGTAGCTATACACAGATTCTCCCTTCATAGAACTTACTAAGCATTTTCTCCAAACATAGGAAGTGTGCCAGTCCTTGGGTAAAAGTCACCTTGGTGCTGGCCAGTTTACTAAAAATGTCAGCCTCATGATAGCCAAAATGTGACATAGAAAGTGATGTAATTGGAACAGTTGCGTAAAAGGACAGAGTAAAACTTCAGTGAGCGTACTTTGCCCTGTACTTCACGGGAAGATATTGTCAGATACGCTTTTACAAAATGCATGGCATCTAGATAGGCTGAGATGAGGTGGGGAAAGGGGGAGAAATAACTTTCTTTGAAACTATATTAACAGTTTTTCTTTCCGTGCAACACTATTTATGGATTTAATGAAGTATGTTGTAACCTCATATTGTCTGCTTGTAATGGAATCTGTTTATATATTTTTTTAAAGTTGCCTTCAGAAGGGCTAGGTTTGGGCAGCTGGAAAGTGTTGTATTAGTATGTTGTAGATACTTAAGTATAGTGGTTGTGGAGTTCAGTGGAGGTGTCAGTTTTGCTTATGAACTGTACATCTACGTATTGATGAGTTCTGTTGAAAAAGATAATTGCAAAGGATTTCAAACAGAGAATGTAATCCCTCACCTTTCACTTCTTATATTTTTGCTAATGTTAATACCTTTGCACTTAAGCTACATTCCAGTATCATCACTTTTCTATTAAGCACTTGGTACTGAGCTGCTTGGATATTACCTAATCCTAATTTAAAACCAAGTAATACTGCATTCTGTAACTGACTCATGCCTCCCCCTTTCAGTCTGCTCTTTATACAAAATCAATGATGCTGCTTAAAAATTGAAATTCTATGGCTATTCCACACGGTTAATTGAAATGAAAGGTTTGAAAGTTAAGCTTCTGTACATCACTTTTATTAAAATATCCGGGAAGAATCTGTTTTATAAAGATGTAAGGGATATACAAAGTTCTAGGAGCATATTGCTTCATATGTGGAAATAATTGCAACTTGACTATAGCGATTATTTTAATTGAAACTCTAATAGGGTATAAAAGATTTCCAACACTGTTTGAAGTCAGCAGTTCTTTATTGAGTGTCCTTTGGGTTCAAATTGGAAATAAAACGCAAAATAAAATATTGAAACATTTCTCATTGGTTCAGAGGACCATGGTTAGTGCTAATCACATACCATGTTTTTTGAACATTGAAGTACTCCCAATTGACAGCTTTTGCTTTATGAATTACAACAGTAAATTGGTATTAACAAACTGCAAGTACCTGTTCCATTCAGTAGTTCCATCTTAAGGAGGTTAGCTGGTGCAACTTGGAGTAATGATAGTGTTTCAGTAGGTTGATAATACCTCTCAGTGGTAATTCCTTGGAGTGGTAGCTAAGGACACCCAAGAGTCTTTTTCAATAAGTTTGCACAGTTAAGCTGGTACTTGTCAGGAGCCAGGGCATCTTGTAGAAATACAGTAGTTTCATCCTATTCCACATACAGTAGCTGTAGAGATAGGTATCAAAAGTATAGATCTGTATGGGGAAGGAAGGCTGTCACATCCTTCAAGGTGCAGAGGATAGAATGGGTTTTGCTTTAAGTAAGTGCCAAACCATGTGAAGCTTTGTGTTTTGATGGGGAAAAATCTTTTGACCACTGTGCAGTGTGTAACATCTTTGCAGGATTTACAAAACGTAATAGATTTGTCTCCCCTTCTCTGCCTTCCACCCTAAATATTTTCATAGTAGTAGCTTCTCTATCAGGAGTTAATTTATGCAAGTATTATGGCAGTGGTGCTTAACCTTTTGGTCCTACAAGCCAGATGAGTGGTGCAGGGCTGGTTCATAGAGCAGATGGGACTCTGTGCATTGAGACTGGGCTCCCAGGTCCTACACCAGCACCGCTCACTGAGACCAGGCCCTGGGGCCCCACATCACCCCTGCATGCTAGTATTAGACCCCATGCTGGCCCCATGTGCCTTGATCTGGCACTGGGTTAGGGTTAGTTTAGTGTAATGAATAAAAACGTTTTCATTTATCCTCCACCCACACATCAGGCTTCTTTGGATGGTATCAGGAAAGTTAAATCCACTTTTTTTGTAAAGGAAGGGGAGAAATTAATTCCAAAGTCAAAGTGATTTCATGGTGAATGCCCTGTCAGGTGTCTGCCACTTCACCAAAGGGAGCATCAATTCTAGCATGTCATCTGAGTACACTTGCTGTGGTAACACACACGCACATGCACACACAATTTTTAGATGAAATTCTTGGGTGATTGATTTCAAATCATTCAGGACTTTTTAGCTTGAGCTTTCCTTAGAAATATTCAGAGACACCTTGTAGATTATTGGAACATGGGTGGTGAAAGTTCTTGGTACGACTAACATTTCATAATCTTAAGAGTATAAAATTAGATGATGATTTGAGAGAGTTTGATTGCAGTTTTAACACTACATTTTATTTGAGTATATGAAAGCACACTGTAAAATGGACAGCAACATAAGGAAGAATCCATTTGGCTTCATGTTAGAAATTATTACATGCAAAATGTACTATAGCCAGGTATGAATAATTTTGACACTGTAAACTATCATGATCTATTTATTTTTATCCACTTAATTATGGCAAATGAAATACCATTCAGTAATAATGTAGGACACTAAAAACAAACAGCAATAACAAAAATGCCCTTAGTTGCATTTAAATTTAAATAAAAAATACCAGTTAAGTACAATGGGAATATTTTTCTCCATTCCCTTATTTGTTTAATAAAGGAACATTAAGCAAGGTTCAGATTCTTAAGCCTTCATTCCTGGGATCCCTTTAATACAGCTGTATTAATACTGAGTCCTTTCTGCAACAGTAAGAATTTCTTCTTTTGAAGCTATTTAGAATAATACTAGTGACATTTCTTGTGTTGAACTGGGGCTTCTTGAAGCAATATATTTTGTGTGTTTTATAAGGCATCATGGGATATGTATTTAATGGTGCTGATGGAGGCAGAATTTTAAGTCCCTACAATCGCATTCCTTTTTTCCTTAGACCTTTGCCATACACAATGTACCATTTAAAGTTCACCAGTAGTTGAGGTGTCCATATAGGATTTTAATTATTTTCTTTGTTACAGTCCTAACATCTTCATGGTAGAGTAAATACCATGTTGCTGAAATTCAACTATATTGTGGAAATATATTAGATCATATTTGTCATAGCTTTGCCTTCAAATTGTATTTTATTTTTGCTTCACAGTGCAGGCCCCAAAGGTGATAACATCTATGAATGGAGGTCGACTATTCTAGGACCTCCAGGCTCAGTATATGAGGGTGGAGTTTTCTTCCTTGACATCACATTTACACCAGAATATCCATTCAAGCCTCCAAAGGTAAGAGAGCATTAGCCTACTGTTTTATGCTGCAAATATTCTACCAGTTAGTGAGTGCTACTCAATACTGACCAGACACTCAGTGCATTTGAAATCTGGTCAGTTAAAAAAATTTATCTTGGCTTTTTTTTTTTTTTAACTTCAAGTACTATGTCTGTATTTCCTGGCCAGTTTCGATAGCTTTTTCAATCACCTTCCTTCCCTCCACTTCAGGGGATGATGGAAAGATCCTACACAAAAAGAGGAAACCAACAGCTTATAAACTTACTATATACAATGTGCTGTGAAATGCACAGAGTAAGAACAGAAAGCAGAGAAAATATCTGATTTTTTTTTTCTAATCTCTGTGGTAAACATGGATGTTTTTGTAATAACAGTAATGATGATAATTTAAAAAAATATCAGATAGCAGTGTAATTTAAGTTTCCAGGGTTCTGTTAGGATTTTGCTTGTTGTTGATTTACACTCTATACTGGCGATCGCTTTGGTGGTTTCTGGATGCAGATTATAATTAGAAAGCCTCTTGTGTTCTAGCAGTATACCATTGTGAGTAAATATTGTTTTATTGTTCATGCACTTGAACTCTAAAAAAAAACAAAACAAAACAACAGTTGGGTTGCAAGTACAGTTAATTGTATTTAAGTTGCATGTTTACATCAAATTTACAAACACTTGCATGTGCTTATCTTTATACATGAGTAGTGCCAGTGACAAGTAAGCAAATACATAAGTGAGTGGAGGTTAGCCTGAGAGCTAGCCTACGCTAAAAAGTTGTCAATTTAGCTATACCAGCATAGGTTTACCATCAGTCTTTCCTAATGTGGACATGACTTGCTGCTTTTGCTTGTCTGGTTTATACTAGTTCCCCAAACAAAATAAACTGAACCCCTCTATAGCTACTTTTTCAGTAGGGCTTGGCTTTACTATAAAATTGTAGTTACAAAAAACAAACAAACCCATGCTCCTAAGCAACATTCCTATATTGGCACAAGTCTCAGACCTTGTCTAGATGGTAAGATTGCTGAAGCAAGGATTGTTCATTTTTTGTATCTATACCTTCAGTATCTTTAGCCCAAGCAGACTGAGTGGGCATGAAGTTCCACCCATACAGATAAGACTACGGTCCTGAGTGGTGCAGAAGTAGCAACAGTGGTTCAGGACATCAGTTCTCGATGTGACTGCGATTGTTGCAACAAAATCATCATATTTTATGGATTGCGACCTCCCTGGCATAAGAAGTTGATGGTATTGTTTAGACTGAACATCCAGAACTTGAAGAGTCTTTTGAAACAGTGGAAGTCTCTGAGGTCTGAGGTGGGTCTCGGGCCATTGCTCTTTTTCGAGATCAGGAAGTAATAGGATGTTGGGATGGACTTGTGCAGATCTGAATGGCATTTCTACTGTGGAGGATATCTAGTAGCAACTGGATACAAGTTGTGCCTATCACTGCATTAGATTATTGCAATTCTTTTTTTAAGCTAGAAGACCAGTATCCATCGCTTAGTGACTCTTCCCTTTCCATGAGAACCACCAATGCACTCTTGGCATGCCTCAGACAAATTACTTCAGTGGAGATTAGTAGCAATCTGGAGTTCAGAGCGTACCTGCAGCTGTCAGTACTCCTTGGATTTTTTAGTTGTTCTTTACTTACACGTTTGGGAAAGCCATACTATAACTTAGGGCTGTGTGAAGCTTTGGTCTCTGATTTGATTCGGTGGCTAAATCTCCAAATCCAGATAAAATCAAGAGACCCTTTAATCTCTCCAAATCGAATTGGACCCCTCTGAATCGATTTAGAAAGATTTGGCAGTTCAGACATAGACACAGCTTTAAATGTTTTTTCTATATACCTCAAGATACCAGGTGGCTTGTGAATGCTGAGATGCTGGGGCGGATGGGCTGGTACCTTCTGGGCCGGGGGGGCACCTGGGGTCCCCCCGCAGCTGAGTGTCAAGCCAGGGGGACGCAAGGGGGTGGGGGCAGCGTGCTCCCCAGCAGACCCAGAAGTACTTCCGGGTTCACCACCAAGCACGCCGGGGGAGGGGGCACACTCCTGTAGGACGCTCCATCTGCCCCACCATTGCAGCATTTACGAGCCGCCCCAGTACATCAAGGTATGTAGAAAAAACATTTAAAGCTGTGTCTATGACCGAATTGCTGATTCTCCAAATCAGCATTGAATCTCCAGGTTCAGATTTGGCCAAATCGAATTGGGGACAGCGATCCAAATCAATGAATCATATCGCTGTCCCCGATTTCAGGCCAAATTCGAATCAAATATGGCCTGTTTCGCACACCTCTACTATAATCCATATTTACTTAAGAACTGAGCACCTACTGTTCTTCTAGTAAAGTACAGCATGCTAATCCCCCAACAAGAAGGAACGTACAGGGGCTCTCGAATAAAAGAAAAAAAGAAAAAAAAAGTGCACTTTGGGTTGTTGTGGTGGGTTTTGGGGGGTTTTTTTGGTGGGGGGTGGGGAAGGGGTTATCAGTAGTCTTGTATCCTTTGACAGTCACCTCAGTGTATTTGTGCTACCTGCCCATCTACCTTTTACCTTTGCAGTTCTGCTAAAATGACTCGGGATTCAAGAGTTTGGGGGAGAGAACTATTAGGGGCTGCAGGGATGTGCTCCCCAGTGACTTTTCTGAAGGTCACTCTGCAGTTCATCATAAGGGGTGCCAGTCTGAAAACCACATTTTTAATTGTGTTCACTTACTTCAGAGAGAGATTGCTGTGGCTGCAAACAGGCATTGTCCTTCTGCTACCATATATACATATATTTTTTTTTATGGCAACACAAAACCTAAGCAGACAGGTGTGGTGATGCCACAAATACCCCAAATCATGGCTGCAACCATTTTAAATTATATAGTTTGTGCTGCCTTTTCTTGACAGTCGTCTGTTCGCTTATGCTGGGAGAGCATGGTTCCGCAGCACTGGGCAGACACTCCTGAGACTTGAGGGGCCCCATCCTGTAGGACAGTGGCTGTGGGCACCTCACACCAACCTGGGGTGTGTATCTGCAGGTGTTAAGTGAAAAAGCCCATGGCCTTCCCTACTCTGCACTTGCAAATGAGCACCTTGGGAATACACCTGCCAGTGCAGAGTGGGGAAGCTGGGTTCTCCACTTTGTGCCTTCAGAGGAATTCCCAGGGCATGTGTCTGCAGGTGCAGAGGGGCCCAGTCCTGCAGAGGGATTCGCAGGTTGCATGTCTGCAGGTGATAGAACCTTTGGCTGGTTTCCCACTTGCAGATGCAGGCCATGACAGCCTGCAGGGGATTCCCTGCGTGTGCCTTTCACACAGCCTCACCCCAGGTACTGCCTGCAAGCCTGGAGGGGGTTCCCCCCTCTGTGCTTGCCCAGGACTCTGTGCCACACACATCCATGCTGCTGCTCTCCAGCTTGGGGCACAGCACCCAGGGCTGTCATCCTGCAGGATCAGATCCCCCCCCAAAAGCCCTGGAAGCAGCAAGAGCCTGACCCTGTGGGACAGTGGCCCTGGGTGACATTGGTAGACTGCAGAATAAAGCAGATCAGCTCTGCCAGAATACATCTCAGCACAACTGATGTCACTCCAAATACAACATCTGTTTATGCCCTATATGTAATAGAATTGCATTTAAGTACCAACAGAATCCCAAGTTGGTTTATAAATATGAAGGAATAAAATATGCAATGCTTCATTTGGCACTGAAATGCCCTGGGATTGGATATAAAACACAGAAATGGCTTAACAGCGTGCAGCAGCACAATACCAGTAGAGTAGGACAAGTGAATAATATCCTGTACCAGGTGAAACAGAACTGGTTGTACCCTGATGATGACACATGCTGAAGCATTGGAATGATTGAAGGACATTTTTAAAAGCCTTATCCCTGGAAGAAGTAAACTGACTAGAATGTGATAGGACCAGTTCCCTTTGAATCTTCCTTGGGACATCTTCAAAGCATAGTTGGAAAAGAACTTCTACACCCTTTAGATACCTGTTTTAATTCTTGAAGGGACAGGCTGATTTAAGGCTTCCCTAAGGCAAAGTGCCTATTGTGAAATATTTTTCCAAGCTTGGTCAAAGAGGCAGCACACTTGAAAGAACAAGATCATGATAATCCTGTCAAATTGCTAGTCCATCACCATGTGAGTGAGAGGAGGTAGTGAAGGTTACCCAGCCATTGACAAATGCAAGGAGGCCTGTGCTACATCGGGAAATAATTATAAAACAAGGACGCAGAGGTCTAATTGTTGAGGATTTGGATAGTCTCAAATAGAGGAGGGTTGAGGCGAGCAGAGGAAGCAGCACCTCCTAGAAGAGCCCTGACCACACTTGCGTTATGAATGAGACTTCTCTGGTTTCTAGCTGACTTGGCAAAGAATCTCTTTGAAGTGAGCCTGTCTTTATGTATAGTGGAGAAGGAGGTCTGACAGGCATGCTATGCATTTGCTGTTCTGTAGCAAAGGCTTCTCATGTTATGCATAGTCAACTTCATTTTCACACTAATCCACTGAGACCTTTACCATTACGCACTACTGAAAGCTTGCTTGGCTTGTAACTTAGTGCCAGTTTAGCCTAACCACTATCAGGTGCCCCTGTACTCCCTGCTGTTTGTCTTCTTAGTTAGAAGTCTGGAAGAAAAAGTTTAAAAACATATTCAATGAATGACCACTGACTCTACAAATGGGCTCACAAGAAATCTACCCTCAGTTTACAGAGGAGAAAGCATACCTGACTTTCACACCACCTTCTGTCCTTCCGTCTCGTGTGTTGCTGTATTGTTTTTTGTTTCCCACAGGGGAGTGTGATAGAGTTGGTGCTTGTAAAGAGCCAAGTACTTGAAATCTGTCATAAATGAGCTTGGTGCTTAAGAGAGGTTCAGCACAATTGTGCTTAGTGGACCAGATCCTCTGTTATGAAACTGGCTTAGCTCCACTGTACCGTGTGTGGGAATTTTTGAGAAGTCTCTTAAGAAGGGAAATACTGCAGTTTTCCTTGCATTAGTA